AAAAAAAAAAAGCTGTTATTTGCTAGTTACACCTGGAATGTCTCCTTTGTTAGGAAAAAGCGTTATTGGTAAAGGTGTAAGGTTAAAACTATTTCAAACGTGTTGTCTCATCCGTTTTCGTAGACAACTGAAAGAAAAGCCAGGCTTTTTTGTAGCGGATAAGAGAGCCGTGCCAGAACAGCAAATAGCTAACCGACAAAAGTGAAAAAACTGCCGAATCTCAGTCATATTTCTTCTATGAAATTTGTTCCCGCTGCATAAATGCTAATTCTAAATTTTGTTTATTTAAAGAGCAATTGTTTTTGCATTTCATTCAATACTGATTTTGAAACTATGGTGGTAGTAAATCAGCCTGTTTCTGCAAATGATTTTCTCTAAAGAAGCAGCTATTTTCAAACCTTTTTCTAAACTTAACTATCTATTTTTAACAGCTAAACTAATCATGCACTTGTTCTGCCCCACGCTACAAAAAGAGTGAATAAATCAACAGTACTAACAGCACCACTAATAATAATAGCAATAGTAATAAGAATAACAATAATGCTAATAGTAATAAAAATCTTACCGAAATATTCTGTGCACACTGATATTGGTAAAATTCATACTTTGATCAGCAAACGTATATCCGTATTAAAGTGAAGAAGGAAAAAAATTGCGCCAGGATTTACAAGCACTGTAAGGGACCATGACGCAGTTCCGATTGTAATATTGTGCCAGTGTTGTATGTTTCAAAATAGACAAAAAAATTTTTTTTGCCACATTTATTGTCGTCACAGATTGGCAGAGTCAGAGATCAGCGTGTCTTGAACAACTTATGAACAAAAAAAATAAAGTATTTTATGATTTACAGTCAGAGAACACAACTTTCTTCTTAAGTAGCTTTAACAGCAGGGAAAGAACAGTGATTGCGTTTATGCTCCTGAAGTCTTGAAAACACATTTTTGATATTGTACACCTGCAGTGATGTAAAAAAAGTGTTTGTTAACGGGTAGTGACAACCAAGAAAACGTCTTTAAATAGGATCTAAATTTGGTTCGCTTACCATTGTTAAAGACCATTTATTACGCTCCCTTACAAATATGAAAACTTTGTAAGTTTGTGACTTACTTTTCAAATAACATTTGATTTAAATATTCTGATACTGCGCAGCTTAAATTTTTATATTCATTAATTTATAATATAATTATACCTCGTAATTTGTCCCTATTGAATTATTGTAAATAAATCCAAGGAAATTTTACAGGATAGTTTTCCTTGGATTCTTAGGACTTAGCCTTGCAACAACTGGATTTGACGCCAGTCAGGCCGTGTCGGCCAGCCAGTTCCAGTGCTTGTGGAACAACGGGTACAGATTTTTCATTGCTCGCGTCTACAAAAGCTACGGCGCTGTTGATTACACTGGGATTCAAAACATCAAGAATGCCAATTCTGGTATGCCATTCAAACAATTTTATTTTGTACTTTATATGGTTCTTCGCTTCCACAATTGTTTGAAAGTATGTGTGAGTTTCGTATTACAGTTGGATGGGTGTACACTGACGGGTACATTTTCCCATGCCATTCATCAAGTTGCAAGGGTGCTAAACAACAAGTGAGCCATTAACAAATTATTGTTTAGTCAACATTACTGTAGTGTGTTAAACATGCTCTAGTTATTTTTCTAATAATTGATTTATTGAAAACCAGGTCGCAGATGCAGTTAGTGCAATGAGAAATTCTGGAGCTAAGTTTGGTATGGTTTGGATCGATGTTGAGATCTACAACTGGGGAAGCAACAAAAACTATAACAGACAGTTCATACTTGACATGGTCAATGAGGTCAAGGTAGGATAACAAGAAGCTTTAACAATCTGTTACTTAAATTTTAATGTTTGTAGAAATGCTAGAAATAAAAGTGAAGAAAGTGAAGGTTGGGAAAATATTTTAAAGAAAAAAGTGCACTATTATGGAAAAAATACATACTTAAAACAAAGGAGTATACAAGAATTCTGATGACTGAAATTTCAATTTTCATTACAGGCTCTTGGTATCAAACCAGGAATCTACTCAAATAACAACAACTGGGCATCAATTGTCGGCAGCTGGACCGGTGTAAGTGACTGCCCGTTATGGTGGGCCAACTACAACAATGACCCAGTGAGTCATAAATTTACTTCTTCTCAACGTCGTTGCTTTTCACGGCATAAAACTAAGATTTATTTCAGAAGACTGAATTGTAAAGCAACTTGAAGTTTCTATTCAAGACAGCTACTAATTACACAACTGTGCTACCTATATTAAAGTGCCAATTTCTTATAGGGATTCGGCAGATTCGTTCCATTCGGAGGATGGAGCAAGCCAGCAATACACCAGTACGCTGGAGACGTCAGTGGACCATGCTCAGTCGGCCTGGACCTCAACTATTATTAAACACCACTTACACCTGTATAGAATTGTCCCATCAAAATAAACTTTTTCCCGTGACTGACTACTTCTAATTTGCATACTGACAGTGCAATTGTCGTAACCAGTTTGTTTTTTTAGCTACACCTCAAACACGTTCTAAAGTGGAAAAACTGCATTCTAGAATTTGAACAAGGCACCATGTTCATCTCTCAATGTTTGACAGAGAAAAAAATTTGAAAGCTCTAAATCCAATTCTGATATTTTTCAAAAGTCTGACTTGATACTGGTGCCAGAGCTTCATTTACTGAGTTAGGAAATTTTGCAGTGTAAACCAACCGAGTTCACAGTTTTAATAAAGAGAGAGCTCACTCACACTGACGAGTCATCACCAAAAAAAAATATCTTTTTCAAAACAAACCCTTTTCCATTAATAGCGCCAAACAGTCCAAACACTATCTTTCCAAGTCTATACCTGAAAATACACTTGACGGTAGCCAGTTGAAAAAACAGCATTTGTCTGCCTTGTTCAGCCCCAAAATAGCTTTAAGCAGTGGCAACGCAGAACCTTTATTTAATCTAAAGAGCAAACACTGAAACAAACTACTCCTCCGGTGTTAGTTATGCCGTAAATGAACAGAGGCAACATGACAGTAAGTTTAACTGCTTTCTTGCTTGGAAACCAAACCGACGAAAAAATGCTCAGGAGACCAAAGTCCAGACAGAAGAGTTCAGACTGTTTACAAACCATGAAGACGAATGAAAAAATACACTGCAAATACGCATGCTTTGATGCAAAACCAACTAGCTCGACACTGTTTGTATCTGTCTGCTCGGGACAACCTAATTATTGCTAAAAAATTGTTTCTCAACACGAATGTTTTATTTCACCATTCTTCCTTTCTCTTAGATGTTACATGACCGAAATCAAAACAATTGATTACACACCGGCATATTGTAAACAGTAAAAAAAAAGATAGTTTCTTGTTCCTGGCCTCGATACTTTCAAAAGTTACGCTTGTGTCACGAAGTTGCAGGGGTTATCAGGTTAGACTTTTCACTAATGCTTTCATGACGCCATGAGCTTACAAAATCAGAGCGAGTTGCTTCTAATTTCGCAAACCTCTGACGTCACGGATGCTACAGTGAAACATCTAAGCTGGTTCCCCCTGCAGCTTCGCGACACAAGCATAGTCGCTGAAATCACTCGAGTTCCAGAAACTTGTAGCAGGATTACTTGAAAGACAAAGTAAAAAAAAAATCCATTGTCGTGGGATGCCGTTGCGTAGTTAGTTCGAAGGATGAACGTAAGGACAAGCGTTTCCCATAAGACAGTAACCACACCAGACAAACATATCGCACACATCTCTCCTTTCAGAACTTTCCTGAAATGTGGGAAATAGAAAAATCCCTAAAAGATTAACGGACATCAAATCCGTGTAACTAGTTTTAATAAACCCCGAAAACTTTTCTGACCCAGTTACTCTGAGCAACATGTTTGGTAAAGGCTTTGCAGTTACTTGGTGTGGTTTTGGTCTGTCGGAGCTGGTCCAGATGGAGCTACTTATCGGGGGAAGTGGTGGTAAATGTAATTCTCTTTCTGATGACGCAGCTGACAGTCCATCAGAAGAACGTCGGTCGCATGAAATACCGCTATCCCCGCAATTAGGCGACCATTGCTGAAAAGAGAAGATAGTTCAACCTCATGGTTTCTTAAAAACTTAGTTTTTTACCAAGTGATAAAGAAAATCCTAAAACGAATATAACATTACTTTCTTCCAAATCTGGCTATTAACAGCGTAAGAAGTAACAGCAAAATAACAAAAATTGTGTAAAATCTTGAGAATCTCGTGAGTCAGAGGAAAAAAAAGTAAGCTTGAAGGTCTCGAAAAATACATCAAAACTCAGGTCTACTGGGTCTATATCATCCATCCTGAACACGGTGTCATCCGACTGGGAATATTTCTTAACTCGTTTAGACTTACGTTCAGCGCCAACTGCTTTAGGGAGACTTGAACCCTCGGAAGAAGGTGGGACTTCGGTCACAAAAAGGTTGTTAACCTTAAATGACTCATTGCAAAAATTTAACCAAACAATGTTAGCACACTAAACTTCTGGAGGTAAACTATCAAAATTACGTGGTGAAGAACTAATTATACAAATCCTTTTTTAATTACCGTATGACATAACCAACCGCTAAAAAAATTTTTTTTTAAAAAGTCTTTAATTTTTATCATAAAAGTAAACCTCTGGGTAAATTGCTGGAATTGGAGTGTTCAAACACGGAGCATTGCTGATTTCATAATGATAAGAGGTCAAATTCTGATTTCTTGCGCGAACTACAAACTGAGCTATTTGCAGCTCCTGTGCCCCATGAGCGTACCTAAATGTTCATTTTAAGCAATTCTATTGTTATCCAAAACAGATTCTCCTAGAGTTAGTAAACAAACGTACCAGCAGCCTCTCCCAAACTTGCAAGGGATCCCAGCAGACCAGTACCGACAAAGCTCAGTTTTATACAGCTCCGTATTTGGACATTTTTGATTTGTTGATTGTTGCTGAAAAATATAAACTTTTAAAATTACTAGAGCTAAAATTTTGACTAAATACCAATCAGTAGCTGATTTATTTCATTCAAATAAAAATATTTTCTCAAATGCAAAGATTATAACAGCTACAAGACATATAGTGATCAAAAACAGACCAGTCCTCCGTGGTGGATATCTTGTTGCCGTGGCAGGCCTGTATTTGGATCAAACATTTCGCTAGGCGCAAATGTTGAGCCACGGTTGAAAATTGGAAATGCACCTTGTGGTGAATAATAAGAGCTGTATTATAGAAAAATATTAGTTATAACCAAACCAGAAACAGAAGAAAAAATAAAGACTAAGTCCTACTCAGGTGGCATTGATAAGGGCAGCGGTTTAGAAGGCTGACTGCTTTGACAAAACATATCCATTTGAAACAACAACTAGTGGATTAGTCTCAACCAGGAGAGTTATTACCAGAGAGTTAATAAATGCAGGGCTATAAAACATTAATCACATCTGAACTTCTAAATTTGACCGTTTAAACGTCGAATAAAAAAGCATTGCGAAGTTTTAATTCAACAGTTCAACTACTTATCATAAACTCAAAAACAGATACATATATTGTTTCGGTTACTAAATGCTAGAACTCTGCTAGGAAAACTACCTGTAAAAAATGAAAAATATTGAAAGTTGTGAAATTCAGAAGTTTGATCTTTAGTTCAATAAAAAAATTGTTACTACTTCCTTTTCTTCGTTTCCCCTTTCTATTAGAAGATTGACCACTACAATTAGTATAATCAACAGCAGCAAATTACATACGACACGAATGTCGTCCAGAGGAAGGAGAACAATTCAAGTTAACTACGACAGCTTGCGTACTGATCGTTTATATATCCGTTAATATACCATCAAAAAAAATTTACATTGTATTTGAACAAAAAAAAAAAAGTGGTCTAATTATAGTATCAAAAGCTATACAATAGGAGATAAGATCAATTAATGAAACAGTGAATAAAGACTATCAGTTAATTTATAATTACGTGAAAATGGATCAGTGGTCAAAAATAGTTGTAAAAAAAGACCGCAAAGACAGCTAATTGCTCAGACATTTTATGACATATTTAAAATTAAACTATTAAAAAAAAAAAAGACAAAAAAAAACAGTGACAAAATACTTTTGATAAATTGGCCGCAAAAACGTCTGCACTGCATGCATAGCAATCGACTACAGATGCAAAATGGTTTGAAACTGTATTTGATATTAGCCAACCATTATACAGATCGATTTCTATAGCTGCATCAGTGGTTTAGTTTCCTATTTTTTCTGAATAATATAACAGTACAACTGTACTGCATCGGTGATAAAGAAACTGTTGGTCTATCACGAGAGAGAAAAAAAAAGCAATGTAAGAATTCATCCTGTCAATTATTTCATTATTTTTTCATAAAACAGGAAAATAAAAAAGTTGATAACAATTTGCTAAAAATATGTTAATTTGCAATAAAATTGTTCTATAAGATGAGCAAATACTTCTTTTTTTTCCCGTCTCCGCAACAAAAATTCCATTGACAGCTTGTTTAAAGTACAGTAACCCAATGTGATGGCAATATCGCAGTTAAGATTACTGTAATGCATATTAAACAAAAGTTAAGTAAACTGTATAATAATCCAATAAAATTTTTTCATTCGTTTATATTGACAAAAATATGTTTTAAAAAATGTAAAAAAATAGGAGAATTTAGCTGATACAATTCCTTTCTCTTTCTTTTTTTTTTTTAAACAATTTACTGATAATTTAAAAAGGCAAAAAAATGAGAAGAAATAAAAATCAAATGCTTTTTTAAGATTATTTTAATCATCTATAATTCAGCATATATTCTGTTGTCGTTAACATAAAAGACAGTTTCAAAATTTTTTTTTT